CTGGGTTGTATTTAACCCAGCATTTTTTAGAGTGTATCATTTGTAAAAACAAAATGTTAAATGCTTGTTCTGTGTTGTTGTTTAGAAGAAATGGAGTCAAACCGCTGGGTCAAAACAACCCAATAGCTGGGTTTGTCCCTTTTTAACCCAGCATTTTTTTAGAGTGTACCCTGTCTTTGGCTAGGCAGAACCTCCGTCTTCAGCACTACGAAGTTTTGAACTTGGTAATCATGAAATTTTATGTCTTGGACATGACCACACAGAACAAACAAAGTTTTACACTGTTATAAACATGATGCTTATAGTTGGCAAGTCTCTCTCACCTCTGATAATCTCATATCTGAACTGTACACTCTAAAAAATGCTGGGTTAAATACAACCCAGTGCTGGGTAAAATAGGGACAAACCCAGCAATTGGGTTGTTTTGACCCAGCGGTTGGGTTACTACCCAGAAGATTGGGTTAAAACAACACAATTGCACTGACACAGACTTTAACAGGCAATGCAACTCTTCCAAAAAATCATCAATGGCTAAAGAAGGAACGCGTACAAGTTGTTCCAGTTTTAATAAAATTGCTGCTAAATTCTGAACACCACCACCAGGCAAATCGTTTCATTGCAGTCATTCAAGCATCACTGGCCTCACTACTGCCAAAATCTTGAACATCTTCAGGCTCTCTTAATTGGTAACTACACCGGGCTTAAAGTCATTTAGTGAATGTGGGTTGTGTTTTCTGTTTTTATGCGACTTGAAAGTTCCATATACATTTGATTGTAAATTACAGCCAGAAAACATGCAATGAACAGTTTCATTTCTCTTTAAATGACTATGAACAAAGTAATCTCTTTCAAGTGCAAGATTACTGCATACACACAAATGACAACTGAAGGTAGATCTTTGTTTGTCATTTACTCCTAAGTGTGCAGCATGATTTCTACGTCCATGAATCAGTAGAGCATTCCATGTCTTGAATGAACATGGACAGTCTGAATATGTACAAGAATATCGCCGACTACGACCATAATGCCTGTGCTGCAGTCTGTGATGTTTAAGTCATTTAGATCTTGCAGAAACTGCAATTCCATGATATCAAACACCACTGCCTCTTTTCATTTTTCATTTAAACATATTAATAGCAGCAGAAATGTATTTCAGGGAACGTACATACAAGAAAACGAAATATGATGCATTGCCTCTTTTCGTTTTCATTTTTTTAAAATATAGAACATATTAATATGTGGTTTAGGCAATGTGTCTACGTTCGTATTCTTAAAAAGAATAGCCCATTATAGGGATCGGTTGGTTTATCGATTCAAAAGCGTCATCAGAAGCGAACATTCATGCCAAATTTTCATGTTCAGTGTGAAAAGGCCTTGATACTTCATGGCTTTCAGATATTAAAACTAAAATTATAAATATTACTAAAATATTAAAATTATAAATAATACTAAAATTATAAATCTCCTTGGCTCGCGTTTTCGGTCTGCCACAATAGCATGCGTATGAATGGAAGTCAATGGAACCCTAATTAACAGTAGCATTCAGGTAAAATAACAGCCTACAAAAGAAACTGATTAAATGAATCAAATGTAAAATACTGCATAGTCTTCACTGTATAAACTGATGGATTAATGCTTATTAAAGCTACTGAAGTCATTCAAGCAGGAGCAGAGAGTAATGTTTCTCATTTCTTTTGTCATTTGATTATCATTAACTCTTTCCCTGCCAGCATCTTTTTTTTAAAGTTGCCAGTCACGGCCAGCATTTTTGATCTTGCCGTGAAATCTTCACAAAAGTTTAATGGCATACAGAATATTTTGTAAAATGAATATCCGTACATGCAATATCAAAAGAAAGAACAGAGCCTCTGCTTTGCAACAAAAAAATTCTAGCTTCATGTACGCTTTTTTTAAATCAACACTTGAATGTTGGTAAGTACAAGAGAGATCTTGCGTCTGGATTGTGATTAACGAAAATGCAACATAGAGGATTGTCTTGATACATCATAAGTGGAAGAATAACCATTTATTTTAAAAACAACAGTGAAGAACAAATTAAAAATACATTTCAGTCTTAGGGCTGGGCGATATAGCTAAAAAAATGTATCAACGATATAATATTTCATATCGTTCGGTATTGATAATTATTGACATTTTGTATAACCTTTTTTAAAACAAAGCAATCAAAAAAAGTTTACATTTAACCACTGTATTTTTTAATGAATCCAATTTATTGAGACAAACAAAAAAAAAATGTTTTGTTTTAACAGTCAAACACAAAATTAAAATTAAACAAATATCTCATTTCTAATGTTTTATATGCAGATTAAATGGGTCCTAAGCAAACTTTTAGCTTGTTTCCCGAGGCCACAGGAGGGTGCAATGAGCAAAATAATGCAGCACAATGTCAACGCAAGGAAATAACTGTCTATTATAACATGCATTACGTCTAAATTAACTCCTATAAATCAAACATAATTTCGTAAATTGCATAAATTATGAACAAAACAGCATTACTATTATGCATTGCTTAATACAAAGAGCCGAATCGCCCATCACACAGATTGCATTTAAAAACATATGAGACGCAGTGAAAATGAATAAACCTCCACAAATTCGTGATGCGTTTTCTAAAAGTTTAAACTGTTTTACGTTTGCATGCTTTCTATACATCTCTTGTGTGACACACGAGTGCAGCAGTCATATTTGTCCATCTAAAAAATTTGCTGAATATGTGTTCTGTGTGAATGGCTTGGTTTCAATTTTAACCTAATCAAGATCTTCTACGCATTGAGCTACTATATTTCTCTAATATCTTGAACGAAAAACGCAGCAACTGCTCTGCACTAGACTAATAAAACATTAAAATTCAACAACGTCACTTACATCATCATCACTGCATCTCGTGCTCCACTGATGACACTCCCTGACGCTGATTGTACTATTTTTGCATTCAAATGCAAATGTTTATTTTAAATTCGACTAATATTAATTTTTTTATTCACAATCTCATCACAGGCAGGCACAGCACTCACTTCAGCATGTGTTCATGTTTGTGTGTGCTGTCTGCGTCACTCTTAGCATGTGCCTATATCATGCACTATATCGAACATTTTTTCTATCGATATCGAAGGTGTATCGTCGATAAATATCAATACCGTTTTATTGCCCAGGCCTACTCAAGTCTCTCTTAAAAGTGTTACAGCCTCTTCAGCTTCCTGAACAAGAACGGTTTGTAAAAAGCTTCTACTTTCCTTCATGAAAGAGTAAGCAAACTACAAGTGATACATTTGCATTATAAGACAATAAAACATAATAAGAAAGCACAATAATATAATTTAAATCATAAAGCAAAATGAAATTTAAAAAAAGTTTTGACATTGTTCTTTGGGGAGGAAACTCCATCTTTGAGTTGATCTGAATCTCACAGTTGAATCTGCTGGTTTTGAAGATGATGAACTTTATTCAGTGTGAAAACTTCAGATGATGTTTTTTTTGTCACGTCACTTGTAATGTCTGGTTAGGACAGATTTATCCAGATGATATTTTATTGCTTGACGCATTATTGTGTCACATTTGGTGAGGACGCGGCATCAGATCTGAAAGTGCTGGATCTGAAGATTATCTACTTACTGTGATTGTTTTTTGTATGACTGTGTAGAGAAGATGAACGATTGAAACACTTCCCACATGCAGTGCAGTGATACGGTTTCTCTCCAGTGTGGATCCTCTCATGCCTTTTCAAATGTATTGACTGACTGAATCTCTTGTCGCAGTGTAAACACTTGTACGGTTTCTCTCCGGTGTGGATCCTCTCGTGTGTTTTCAGATTTTCTCGATAACGGAATCGCTTGTCGCAGTGTGAACACTCATAAGGTTTTGCTCCGGAGTGAATCCTCTCATGCAGTTTTAAACTGTTGGCTGAAGTAAAAGTCTTTTCACACTCAAAGCACATGTACTCTCTTACACCAGTATGTATTTTCTGATGTTCTTTTAAATGTGCTAGACGTGAAAAACTCCTCTCGCATAAAGAACACGAATATGGCTTCTCCTTTCTATGAACTTTCAGGTGCTTCTTCAGGTATGAAGCCCACAAAAATGTTTTTCCGCATTGATCACATGCGTACAATTTCTCTCCAGTGTGGATGTTCATGTGTCCTTTAAGATAAGATGACTGTTTGAAATTCTTGCCACATTGATCACAAGTGAACAGCTTCTCTCCAGTATGAACTCTCATATGTGTCGTAAGGTGTCCTCTTTGTGCAAAACTTTTCCCGCACTGATCACAAGTGTATGGTTTTTCTTCAGTGTGGACAATCTTGTGTGCTTTCAGATTTGCTGAACGATTAAATCTCTTGTCGCAGTCTGAACACTTGTACGGTTTCTCTCCAGTGTGGATCCTTTCATGTTTTTTCAGGATTCCTGACTTATTGAATCTCTTGTCACAGTGAGAACACTTGTAAGGTTTTTCTCCAGGGTGGATGTTCATATGCTCTGTAAGGTGTCCTCTTTGTGCAAAACGCTTCCCGCACTGATCACATGTGTACGGTTTTTCTCCAGTGTGGATCCTCTCGTGTGTTTTCAGGATTTCTGACCGACTGAATCTCTTGCCACAGTATGAACACTTGTTTGGTTTCTCTCCAGTGTGGATGTTCATGTGTCTATTAAGGCTTGCTGATTGTTTGAATGTCTTCCCACATTGATCACATGTGAATGGTTTCTCTCCAGTATGAACTCTCATGTGAACATCAAGACTATATTTGCTTGTCAAGCTCTTTCCACACTGAGTGCAGGTGACAGATTTCTGGGCTCCTCCTTTCTTTAAATCTTTCTGTTTGGTTTGAGAGCATCTCAAATGTTTTTCTCCAGTTTTGGCATTATTTTTCTCCTCAATTTCACTCAATTCTTTATTCTCATTATTTTCTTCAATCAACTCTGAAATAAAAGTAAAAAACAATTCATGTTTTAACTTTTAAAAACTATTTATTAAAACAGAAATGTGAAAGGAGATAAAAATTAACCTCAATATAACAGCAGAAAGCAGTAAATCATCTTGATGCAATTTTATAAATTACACACCCCTGAAACCTTCCATGAATGGGATAAATTGATCTTCAAATTATTACTTTTAAAACATTACAGGCACAAATCCCATGTTTCTATAGGGAGAACGCCCTGAGAATCCACAGCTGCCAAAGAAGTCTTCCATATCCAGCCTCAATGACTACCATCCCGTCATAGTCACACCTATCATCATGAAGTGCTTTGGGCGGTTCATTATGAGGCACATCAAGACCCTGCTGCTACTCTCACTGGTCCTGCTGCAGTTTGCATATCATCCTAACCACTCCACAGAAGTCGCTAATTCCACCTCACTCCATCTAGCCTTCACTCATCTGGACAGTAAGGACAGATATGTTTGAGTGATGTTTGTAGACCTCGGCATAGCATTTAGCCAGGGCCGGCGCATGCATTTAGGCGAACTAAGCAGCCTAGGGCGGCAGCAGGGTCAGGGCGGCAAAAGGACAGAGATTTTAGTTCATCTTTAGGACATTCTTTGGAATTATTGCACTCATATCAGGGTCATTGACGTACAAGGATTTTCGACAGGCCAATTTTTTATCTATTGTAATTGTTCAAACATTAAGAATGTTGTATACACAAATTCATATTAAAATTTAAAATGAAGTGATTTTAGTGTTTTTTCATCTAGATGAATTGGCCGTAGTCTTAAAAAATGTCATGTGGTGCGACCATATTATAATTAAATAATTTCCATAACATGATTAAATTTTTTTTTTTATGTTTTCAGTAATTAACGTGTTTAGAAAACAAAGTATTTGCATTTAATTTGAGTTTTTGTAGATAATGATCTCTTATTTTTGTTCTATAATTTCAGAGTTGCCTTCTTAAATGTAGTTAACAGACTTATTTTTCCTGTAAATTGTATAAAACTGAAAAATGTTTTAAAAATACCATTCACTTAAGCATACTGTAGCAGTGATTCATATTTCAACCACAGAAATGTGATATTTTATTTTAATTTAATACAGTTATTGCTATTATTGGTCGCACCACATGATGAGTGGTCGCTCCAAATGACACAAAGACCTTATATCATTAAAAATCTATTTAAAGAGACGTGTGAAAAACGCAGCACGTGGCATTAACTGCAGGCATTTCTTTAGCCCCAGTTATTTCAGTAATTATTGTATATTGGCTGCTCAAATTGACCCTTTCGAAGGCAGTCTGACATATTATAATGCCGAATCCGTCATTTTTGTCCAACAAACAAACCAGACAGTAGAGTAGATTAACGTCGATGGACTTGAACTTGAACCATGGTGTGTATTGACATCTTTTCACAGTTGAAACAAGATACCTTCGGATGTTCATTCATGTTTATTTTGTGCTAAGAATAGTAAAGATGAAGAGATGGCACTACAGCGATCTGTCACAACACGTTAAAGAGCCACAAATATTTGAACACTGAGACTTTCTGAGACTTGTTTCATACTAAAAGTAACCAGCTCTGTCTTGTCTGTCAGCTCATTGTCAGTGTCCTCTTTGCGCCGTGATGTATTTTTCAATGCGTGAGAACATGATGTATGGCATAAAAGTGCCATGATATGTCGGACGTAGCAACAGTAACTAAAGGGGGCAGGTCTTTGCGAAAGGTCCATTTAGAGTAGGGGGAGGTTGCTGGCTCAGGTTCTGAGATAACAACATTAACATCTTTCTTATAGTAGAAAATGGCATCTGGAGTTTGTGCTAGAGTGCAGAGTCAGAATTAACATGCTGCCTATGGTGAGCGTTTATTTTACTGTGCTTCGCAGTGGAATCTGGCAGAATAGATTTAAATAGTAATTAACAAATAAATAATAAAATTACTAATAAATGCATAATTACCAAACTAAAATTACATGCTCTGAATCTTTTTTTTTTTGCATTTTTTCTCATATTGTACAAAGAATAAACAAACTGTCTGAAATGACCCAAATTGCATAAACATCTATTCCAAATTATACTAAAATAAGATATTTTATGTATATAAACCATCAATTGAAAATATAAAAGCACAAAAACTGCCAATTTGGGACATATATCTATAATGGAATACACTCTGCAGTGGTCGCACCACATGATATTTTCAAATTCAGTCAAAATATACAAGCACAGAATTGGCCACCTTAACAGAACAAGCTAGCTTCCCACAAAAGGTCACTATGAAATTTGCACTGAGAACTACTCTCACCTGAAGAGAATGCAAAATATCTGCACTCATTACAAACACTGGGTTGTTGCGACTCTCCTGAACCAGGAGCTGGGTTACATAAAAACTACCCAAACACACAACAATGTTGCAATAAAATAACCATGATTTTTAGAGTATATGTGCATACTATAAAAGCAACTGATGCAAGCTGGTAATCATTTAAGTGGGTCCACTAATGGCACTTTTCCACTGCATAGTACGGCACGGTACGGTTCAATTTTGGGGGGGGTTTCCACTGGGTACAGTACCTGGTACTTTTTTTAAAACCACCTCGGTTGAGGTTCCAAGTGAACCGTATCGTTGCCAAAACGTGACATGTAAACTCTGCTGATCACGGATTGGCCGGAGAGAATCGTCTCTACCTGCGTCACTGAACTTGCAACACAAACACAACAGAACCGCTAGATTTAAATCAGCACAGCCAGCGAAGGATCGAACGCACCTATTTCGAATGAGCGCACCTTTTTTTTAAACAACCAAAAAGTGGCTGTTTCGTTGTCTGTTGAGGAAGTACAGACGTTCCTCTCGTTGATAGCAGAGGAGCGGATCCAGCGAGAGCTTGATGGGGCGACGTGGAATGAAAAAGTTTTTCAGGAGTCGCGGCAGTAGAGGTGGCGCAACTATAACGACATGTGAATAATCCCACCCACTCTAAAGCGATACTAAACTGCAGTGGAAACGCAAACGGAGCCGTGCCGTACTGAACCGTGCCTAGCCGAGTCGTGCCACGCAGTGGAAAAGCACCATTAATGATTGCGCGAATGCTCCATTACCTCTCCATCCTCTGTTCACTTGCCGGATCCGTCACCCCGCTTTATTCCGGGACCTCGCAATTTACAAATTAAACACTGTTCGTAGCGTTATAAATGATAAACACTAAATATCTAGGCTACCTGGCTACAAAAACAAAACACGGTTTTGGTCCAAAACCATGTTTTTTGGGGGGGGGATGTATGTGTATGTAGGCCTACGTGTTTGGATGTACGTGGATGTACATGGGCCTATCTAATAGATTACACCAGGGGTGCCCAAGCCTGTTCCTGGAGATCTACCTTCCTGCAAAGATCAGCTAAAGCCCTGATCAAACACAACTGAACCAACTTATTAGGATCTGAAGAACACTTGATCATTACAGACAGGTGTGTTTGATCAGGGTTGGAACTGAACTCTGCAGGAAGGTAGACCTTCAGGAACAGGGTTAGGCACCCCTAGATTACACTATACACTTGGTCCACCTGTGTCTCCCCCATGCTGTCTCTCACACTAGGCTATAATCTTGCCTTTCAGAAGCGCGTGTCGGGCTTTAAAACTCATCAGACGTCACCAGTAGCGAAAGTCATTTATGTCCGGATAGTTTTATTCATTTTGATGACATTTATTGAAGTAGCCTTGGCTACATGAGGGTGTTTTGCATGTGATATTGACACCACTCAGGATTACAAAACACTTTTGGAAATCGTGCCAAATAGTGCATAAAATTTATTTTAATAAATTTAGGGTAATTTCAAAGATGTTTACAAAAAAAAAGTTATGGCCGGACAGTCGCACCACATGATATTTTGACATTTTGAATAACAGAAAAATGACAAATAACTAATGTTTTTTGAAAAGTTAAAGTGAGTTCATACATGGGAGAGGTCCTTCATATATATGGCATGTTTTTTTATGCATTTAAACCCATTTTTAACTGAAAAAAATGCAATCGGACAGTAACTTTAGGAGTCACACGTCATTGACCCATCAACAAGTTATTCTAACTCTAAATTAACTTAGCTTCATAGTAATGCCGCTCCGGTGCTGTGCCCCACCTGGAAGTGTTCTGTTAATTCTGCTAAACTTTAATTAAAACTGAAACTGAACTGTATAAAAACTAAGGCTATACATCTGTCTAAATCTAAAATCACAAAGTAAAAACTAAACTAAAATTAACCAAATTATTAATGAAACTAATAAAAGAAAATTGAAAGTGATATTAAAATAAAAACGAATTAAAAAATACAAAACTATAATAACCCTGACACGAACATCTTTCATTGGTGCATGAGGAGGGGGGATCCACCAAATGAGGTTATCGGAATTCGGAGGTGCTGGACCTGGATCCAGCTTGTTCAAATTACACCGACTACGAATAGGGATTTCAGCTGTACGAGCACGGTTTACTAATGTTTTTTGAAAAGTTAAAGTGAGTTCATACATGGGAGAGGTCCTTCATATATATGGCATGTTTTTTTATGCATTTAAACCCATTTTTAACTGAAAAAAATGCAATCGGACAGTAACTTTAGGAGTCACACGTCATTGACCCATCAACAAGTTATTCTAACTCTAAATTAACTTAGCTTCATAGTAATGCCGCTCCGGTGCTGTGCCCCACCTGGAAGTGTTCTGTTAATGCTGCTAAACTTTAATTAAAACTGAAACTGAACTGTATAAAAACTAAGGCTATACATCTGTCTAAATCTAAAATCACAAAGTAAAAACTAAACTAAAATTAACCAAATTATTAATGAAACTAATAAAAGAAAATTGAAAGTGAAATAAAATAAAATAAAATAAAATAAAAACGAATTTAAAAATACAAAACTATAATAACCCTGACACGAACATCTTTCATTGGTGCATGAGGAGGGGGGATCCACCAAATGAGGTTATCGGAATTCGGAGGTGCTGGACCTGGATCCAGCTTGTTCAAATTACACCGACTACGAATAGGGATTTCGGCTGTACGAGCACGGTTTGAACAGATTTCGATGTCTCTTAGTGAAAATGAACTACAGAGACTTGTGCTTTCCGTGTCCTTAACAACGTTAGTCGAGCTGCTTACCTTGAAGCTTTATCACCTTCAGCAGTATTAAAGAAGCATTAAGAATAAAAACCAACCTTTTTGTTCTTCAGTATCTTCAGAGCAGTTCATTCTGCAGGGTTTGTGGGAGCAGCGTCACTGAACGTCTGTGTGGAAGAAGCAAATTTGTCAAAATCAGCTGTAAATCAGTTACTGAGGTTTTTTTATTTTAATTTTTTTTTAAGAGTGAGGAATTCTTTGAATCTTTGGAGAGACCAGAGCCTAACAAATACAAAGTGTTGCCTCTTTAGACATCATTATATTACTATTAAAAGTAGGGCTGTCGCGATTCGTCGATTTTATTCGACTATTTGATTTTTTTAAATCCTCGACTTCATTTTGCTTGCGTCGACTAACCGGCAAAATACCGGAAGTGGTGCATTTCACGGACGAGAATCCATAAAACACATTATTAGTCTGTTTTCCAAGGCTAATACAGTATATGCGCTTTCATTATTTACATGCGTGTAGGTTAAGTACGTGGCTCCATTCACAGTAGTTCCACAGGAACTGTTATCATTTATATGTGGAGCATCTCAAACTCCATCTCTGCATGTTGTTGTGGAAGAAGCAAATTTGTCAAAATCAGCTGTAAATCAGTTACTGAGGTTTTTTTATTTTAATTTTTTTTTAAGAGTGAGGAATTCTTTGAATCTTTGGAGAGACCAGAGCCTAACAAATACAAAGTGTTGCCTCTTTGTAAATCATTATATTACTATTAAAAGTAGGGCTTTTCGTCGATTTTATTCGACTATTTGATTTTTTTAAATCCTCGACTTCATTTTGCTTGCGTCGACTAACCGGCAAAATACCGGAAGTGGTGCATTTCACAGACGAGAATCCATAAAACACATTATTAGTCTGTTTTCCAAGGCTAATACAGTATATGCTCTTTCATTATTTACATGCGTGTAGGTTAAGTACGCGGCTCCGTTCACAGTAGTTCCACAGGAACTGTTATCATTTATATGTGCATCTGGGAACGCAACATGCGCCATTTCATCAGATTTGTAAAGTAAATAATTTATAAATCTACGCAAACACAGGAGAATACATCGCGGTTTCAAAATAAAAGCTCAAACCCTCACTCAGAGTTTAAACGTTTTGATGTCCACATATTCTTTTAACTACAGTGGCTATAGCATTTCTGTCCTAAAAAAATGGCCAGATATTAAAGATTAAGTGGATATTTGAATGAAATGGTGCTTGGTCAATATTAAACAAGTATTAGATCGCACAGCAATGTGTAAAAACAATCGTCAGGCCGTTGGCACCCTCTGCAGGCCTTTGTTGTAATGCGTGATGTACATCAGCTCTATGTATTTTAACAATTTTGTTCAATAAAACCATATGATTTCTTGCTTTTGATACTTTATTTGAATTAATTATTTCCTCACTGCTATTATATATGTATTTTAAGTAATTTTAAAGGCTATTGCTCATTTACATCTATTTTTATTACCACAAAAAAAAAATATTATAATTATAGGGCACTATGAAATCAGTTTTATTTCCAAATTCATTTTTCTATACTCTGTTTTAATGGTTAAATTCAATTTTATTAATCAAAAAGCCTGTCTAATTAATTGAGTTTTAGTTTTATCTTTACCAAATTCGGTTTTCCATTATTTTCTGGATTCCACTTTAATGGTTCCATTAAATTTTAATAATCAAAAGCATCTCCAATTAATTGATTTTATTAAAAAAAATAAATGAGAAAAGAAATACTGCACATTAGGGTTGTGACGGTGAGAAAATGTTCCTACTGGTTAATCAACGCGTAACAACACCGGTAATACCTTCCCTCTTTTCCTTCTCTTTTAAATAGCTTGTAAAAGCTGCGTGCGCATTTTACTTTCACTTTCAAATAGCAGCAATTCGGCGTAAAGCAGTTGTTCATTTTTAGCTTGTTTGAATTTCCCCTCTTTTCCTCGGTTACCTTCGCTTTTAAATAGCTTAAAAGCGCCGTTCGAAATAGCAGCAGTTCGGCGTCAATTGCTTGAATGCCACAACAAAATACAACGTCAAACTCACTTTAGCATATATATAAAACAGAGAACGTTTATTAACAAAACAAATAAAAATACGCTATGCCTAATATAAAATAACAAATAACTTACATAATTGTTTCAATCTATAAGAATAATCAGCCGACACTACCAGTCAAAAGCTTTTGAACAGTAAGATATTTAATGTTGTTGTTTTTTGTTTTTTTTAAGAATTCTCTTCTGCTCACCAAGGCTGCATTTATTTGATCCAAAGTACAGCAAAAACAGTAAAATGTTGAAATATTTTTACTATTTAAAATTGCTTTCTATTTGAATAGATTTTAAAATGTAATTTATTCCTGTGATCATACATAGCTAAATTTTCAGCATCATTACTCCAGTCTTCAGTGTCACATGATGCTTCAGAAATCATTCTAATATGCTGATTTGCTGATTATTGATATTTAAAACAGTTGAGTAAATTTTTTTTTCAGGATTCTTTGATGAATAGAAAGATCCAAATATCAGCATTTATCTGAAATAAAAAGCTTTTGTAACATTATACACTATTCCATTCAGTACAATTTTTATTATTGTTTTGGAAAGAAATTATAGAAATTAATACTTTTATTTAGCAAGTATGCTTAAAATTGATCAAAAGAGACGATAAAGGCATTTATAATGTTACAAAAGATTTCTATTTCAGATAAAGTGTTCATATTGATATCGGAATTATATTGTATTGACCGAAATTAAGAAATATATCGTGATATAAATTTTGGCCATATCGTCCAGCCCTACGAGATGGACACTTGCTTCTTGCACTTTATGTTGCACTTCACTTTTGGATTTCATTTGGTTTAATGAAATATAGTTTAATAAAATATTCTTAAGTAAAATTGTTGATTTTTTTGAGGGAAATTAATCGTTTAGTTTAAATTAATCGATAAATTAGTCGATAGATTAATCGAAATAAAAATGGTCGTTAGTGGCAGCCCTAATAACAGTGTCGACACAAAAAGCACATCAATTTAAAACGCTCATTCAGTAACAATGCGGTAATTTACATTCTATGCATTTCTGTTTTGTATTTCTATTGTCCATATGGCATATATATAATTTTGCCTCCTGTATTAAAATATAACGGTCATTTCTGTTTCGTATTTCTATTGCCCATATGGCATATATATAACTTTGCCTCCTGTATTAAAATATAACGGTCATTTCTGTTTCGTATTTCTATTGCCCATATGGCATATATATAACTTTGCCTCCTGTATTAAAATATAACGGTCATTTCTGTTTCGTATTTCTATTGCCCATATGGCATATATATAACTTTGCCTCCTGTATTAAAATATAACGGTCATTTCTGTTTCGTATTTCTATTGCCCATATGGCATATATATAACTTTGCCTCCTGTATTAAAATATAACGGTCATTTCTGTTTCGTATTTCTATTGCCCATATGGCATATATATAACTTTGCCTCCTGTATTAAAATATAACGGTCATTTCTGTTTCGTATTTCTATTGCCCATATGGCATATATATAACTTTGCCTCCTGTATTAAAATATAACGGTCATTTCTGTTTCGTATTTCTATTGCCCATATGGCATATATATAACTTTGCCTCCTGTATTAAAATATAACGGTCATTTCTGTTTCGTATTTCTATTGCCCATATGGCATATATATAACTTTGCCTCCTGTATTAAAATATAACGGTCATTTCTGTTTCGTATTTCTATTGCCCATATGGCATATATATAACTTTGCCTCCTGTATTAAAATATAACGGTCATTTCTGTTTCGTATTTCTATTGCCCATATGGCATATATATAACTTTGCCTCCTGTATTAAAATATAACGGTCATTTCTGTTTCGTATTTCTATTGCCCATATGGCATATATATAACTTTGCCTCCTGTATTAAAATATAACGGTCATTTCTGTTTCGTATTTCTATTGCCCATATGGCATATATATAACTTTGCCTCCTGTATTAAAATATAACGGTCATTTCTGTTTCGTATTTCTATTGCCCATATGGCATATATATAACTTTGCCTCCTGTATTAAAATATAACGGTCATTTCTGTTTCGTATTTCTATTGCCCATATGGCATATATATAACTTTGCCTCCTGTATTAAAATATAACGGTCATTTCTGTTTCGTATTTCTATTGCCCATATGGCATATATATAACTTTGCCTCCTGTATTAAAATATAACGGTCATTTCTGTTTCGTATTTCTATTGCCCATATGGCATATATATAACTTTGCCTCCTGTATTAAAATATAACGGTCATTTCTGTTTCGTATTTCTATTGCCCATATGGCATATATATAACTTTGCCTCCTGTATTAAAATATAACGGTCATTTCTGTTTTGTATTTCTATTGTCCATATGGCATATATATAATTTTGCCTCCTGTATTCAAATATAACGGTAATTTCTGTTTTGTATTTCTATTGTCCATATGGCATATATATAACTTTGCCTCCTGTATTAAAATATAACGGTCATTTCTGTTTTGTATTTCTATTGTCCATATGGCATATATATATAATTTTGCCTCCTGTATTAAAATATAACGGTCATTTCTGTTTTGTATTTCTATTGCCCATATGGCATATATATAATTTTGCCTCCTGTATTAAAATATAACGGTCATTTGTTTTGTATTTCTATTGCCCATATGGCATATATATAACTTTGCCTCCTGTATTAAAATATAACGGTCATTTCTGTTTTGTATTTCTATTGCCCATATGGCATATATATAATTTTGCCTCCTGTATTAAAATATAACGGTCTAGAAATATTGAAAGGAATATAATGTAATTTCTTCTGAATATAAGAATTAAAAAAGCGATGACTCCCATCTTCATGAACAACTATAAATACACTAGAGGCACACAATATCTAACCATAGTTTGATTTTCTAATAAAAACATTCATAGCAATAAAAGTAATTAAATTATTAACATCTTATAGTTTTATGTGCAGAAACTGAGTGATCATAAAATCTTCTTTAAACAGAAATGTGTGTTCATATTATAGATTTAAAATGTCCCAAGTTACTCACTATTAAGTATTTAGCGGCGTCTGTTCTTAATTTTAACCCTGTTAAATAACTATATCAAATTTGATGTGCCAAGATCAACCTCAAAACGTAACGATAAATCTCAAAATATCGTTTTAAATACAATCGCAGCAACAACTCGCATCCCTCTCGCGAACATCTAAACAATCATTCACACAAACACAAAAGCACTCGGGTCTTAAAGAATTGAGCCTGTTTTCCTCACATGCGTGTTGCCTGCTGTTCCGAGTGTTTAAGTCAGCAAACACACAAACCGCGCAGTACTCGATGAAAACAAGACCTCGCATATAGTTTCATGAACAAACAGTGTAAGGAGTATTTTACTAATACTCTGAATATAGCGAAACACCACCAACTGCTCACCTCGCCTCAGAAGTCAACACCGAGTAAGCAACGCGCGCTAGTGATGACGTCATCGCAGCGCGGCGAGATCGACAGCAGATTTAAAAAAAAAAATGTATTATACTTTTTTTTTTTTTTTTGCATTTCAAGCATCATAACAGAACAAAATAGGCTAACATAACCACAACTGTAAGTCCTCACAGACTCAAGACATTCATCTTGAGACATGGGACAAAACAGGGTCCAGCAAGGGTAACTGCTATTAGGTTTAAAAATAAAAATATTTTCAATTTTAAATGTCATGAGGGATTAATAATAGAATGTATTTAACACAATTATCACCTTCAATTTAAAGTTCATGCATGGCTTTGACCAACAGATGGCGCTAGCGTGCTGTCACTCTTGCGTTGCGCATGCCTTGAGTAAGTCTTTTTTTTTTCTTTTTTTTTGTGGATTAGGCTAAATCATTATTACGATTATTACGAAAATTATTACGAAAGTTTCTCATTATTACGAGATACTAAGTCATTATTACGAGAAAATAAGTCATTATTACGAGAAAGTTTCTCATTATTACGAGATACTAAGTCATTATTACGAGAAAATAAGTCATTATTACGAGAAAGTTTCTCATTATTACGAGATACTAAGTCATTATTACGAGAAAATAAGTCATTATTACGAGAAAGTTTCTCATTATTACGAGATACTAAGTCATTATTACGAGAAAATAAGTCATTATTACGAGAAAGTTTCTCATTATTACGAGATACTAAGTCATTATTATGAGAAAGTTTCTCATTATTACGAGATACTAAGTCATTATTATGAGAAAGTTTCTCATTATTACGAGATACTAAGTCATTATTATGAGAAAGTTTCTCATTATTACGAGAAAATAAGTCATTATTACGAGAAAGTTTCTCATTATTACGAGAAACTAAGTCATTATTACAAGAAAGTTTCTCATTATTACGAGATACTAAGTCATTATTATGAGAAAGTTTCTCATTATTACGAGAAAATAAGTCATTATTACGAGAAAGTTTCTCATTATTACGAGAAACTAAGTCATTATTACAAGAAAGTTTCTCATTATTACGAGATACTAAGTCATTATTATGAGAAAGTTTCTCATTATTACGAGAAAATAAGTCATTATTACGAGAAAGTTTCTCATTATTACGAGATACTAAGTCATTATTATGAGAAAGTTTCTCATTATTACGAGAAAATAAGTCATTATTACGAGAAAGTTTCTCATTATTATGAGAAAGTTTCTCATTATTACGAGATACTAAGTCATTATTACGAGAA